GCATAAGTGTATTTCTGAAATTAAAATACTAGCAAATTATGCATTATTCTAAAACCAACTACTACACTTTAAATTTTTACAGGTACTATAACAAAAGCTTGATTTGGATACAGGCATACGCTTTACGCATATAACTTATGTCACTGGGGAATATAGGGACTGTCAAGGTTCATACAGGGTGGCGCATCGAAAACGAAACAGACGCATTTACTGGCAGCTCAGTATTTTTTTGGAAAAACGCTCAGACCCGTCGAGTTTGTTTTTGAGGGGGACACAAGTTTGGCAAAAAATCACGTTAACACGTGCAGCCCCCTGGGCGGGGGTGACACCAACCCTAAAATCTTAAATGGAAAGGGGGGTCGAGTGATACCTTACTTTAAAGGTCTTTCAATTTCCTTTATCATGATGTAAAATACATGAACTTCAGTTCAGTAGTTTTGAAGGTTTATTGATTTAAAGCTTAAAGTAGATTTTAATAGGTACATCATATTAGTTTGTACTACTTTCAGAAGAAATTTGACTAAAAGAATTTAATTAATAAGTAAATACTTTTCTTCAATACGCCTATGGTTGTATCATTTTGTCGTTGAAAATAGCTATTAGAGCGTCTTTTTGTGGCAAAAAAGTTGTTTCTTGAAGAAAAATAAGGAAATTTCTCGTACCTATTTTGAATAGGAATTTAGTACTTAGTTTGCGATTGATTTGACCAAACTTTGTTGCTAAAATAACTTCTAATGCTTTATTACATAAATTAACCATGGTATATTCCACAGCAGAAAGAGTTGAAATTATCGAAATATTTTTCGGAAATAATCAGTGCGCTAATAGAACAGCTGAAATATTTAACGAGCGACCTGAGAACAGTAACCTGCATCGAAAATATGTTCTAGAACTTGTAGCTAAATTTTTGGAAACTGGTTCAGTCGCCAATAAAAAACGCAACATTGAAAATCCCATAAGGAACGAAACAATAGGTTAAGTACCCGTAAATTGGAGACTATGTGTGGTATTAGTCGACGTACTGTCCAACGCATTCTAAACTCCCATAGTTTTCATTCGTATAAAATTCACCTGGTACAAGAACTTAATGAAGACGAATTATAAACGATGAACATTTTATATTCAACACTTGCTTTTCCGACGAATGTTCCTTTTTCTTAAATGACGTAGTAAATCGTCATAACTGCCGATATTGGTCCGATTCTAATCCCAGAATTTATCATGAGGTTTATACGCAGCAACCACAAAAATTAAATGTTTGGGCTGGTATTTTTGGCGATCATTTAGTGGGTCCTTTTTCTTACCTGAAAATTTGATCGGTGAAATGTATTTGGAATTACTGGAAGACGCCATAGATCCTGCATTAACAGCCATAATTGAAAATCAGAATGATCGGCGGTACATTGCGAATAGGTAGATGTTCCAACAGGATGGTGCCCCACAACATTACGCATTACGTGTTCGACAATATTTAGACGTTTCCAGATAGATGGATTGGTAGAAGACGTGCCATTGAATGGCCCCCACGATCACCAGATTTATCACCTTTGGATTTCTTTATGTGGGGTCATTTAAAAAGCAAAATCGATGCTACTCAGCCAACATCATTAGAAGACCTGCAAAAAAGAATTGTGAATGAGCGCCTTCAAATTACTCCTCAAATATTGCAAAATGTGCAGCAACGTTTTGAGCAAAATCTTTATTGCATGGAGAGTCATGGTGGCCATTTTCAATATTTACTTGCCTAACGGGTCAGTTCATTGTTCATTTTTAAATTACTTTGCTGCGAAATGTATTGATCTCAACTAATGATGATGTATTAGTTTTATTTAAGCTTTAAATCAATAAATCTTCAAAACTACTGAACTGAAGTACATTAATTTTATATCATTATAAAAGGAATTGAAAGACCTTTAAAATAAGGTATCACTCGACCCCATTTTCCATTTAAGATTTTGGGGGTGGTGTCACCCCCGCTTAGGGGGCTGCACGTGCTAACGTGATTTTTTTCCAAACTTGTGTGCCCCTGGAAAACAAAATCGACGGGTCTGAGCGTTTTTAAAAAAAAACTGAGCTGACAGTAAATCCGTCTGTTTCGATGCGCCACCCTGTATATGTTTCCTACAAAACAGCCAGGAAGTAAACAGTTATCTGTCAAATCTCTCGCATAAAATTGGATTTTTTTGTCCGAGCTGGCCACGCGCTTTCCAATCACCAGAATTACTCAACATTCAAGCTATTTTAACTATCAAGATGTCTAACCCAAGTATTCTATACTTTTTAAGCAATGCCGCAGTCGCTTTTTGCTTGTATACCAGTATTACTCACTGTCAGTGGTAAAAGCAATGGTTATTCAAAACTACACGCAATATTTTTGTTACAAAAGTAGCTGGTAGTGGTTTTTTCCAGAATATATGAATACAGACATAAAAAATCCATGCCACAATGGACAACAATGTACGGTAACATCACATGGATAGCATGAATATTAAAAATAAAAATAATAGAAACCATTCCACATATTATACACTGGCAGTATTTAACTTTCAGAAAGCCCGTGCGTATTAATAAACGTTTCAATAAATATGAGTATTTTGTAAATGCTTGTTGGTTCAAAAGTGCATCATTTGCCTCACATATGTCATTTCTAAAACATCGCTTGACGATAGAATATACGAGTTTCACTATAAAAACAAAGAAACGACACTGTCTAGTTAAGTACAAAATAAAATTGATCTTTGTCGGGGTCTTGTGAAAATTGTCACAGCCTTTTCTTTACCTTCCTGTAAGAAACTGGGGCCTAGACTTACGGAGAGATCCGAAAACAAAGTACATATATTGGTAGTTTAGCAACCATCTTGTTCCTTTGAGGTCATCTCGAATTTGGTATGCAACTTTGTAGGACCTTCAAACAAATCGGGTAAGAAAAGGAAAAGAAAAATGTACTTCTAAAACTCATTGGACCACGATCTCTATTGTGAGTTACATATGTTATTAGATAGTGTAAGGAATGGACGGGCAGGAAATCTATGGCATAGTGACAGAGACAACCAAGGATGAAACAGATCAAAGAGAGCTTTGTAGTAGTCTCTACTTATGAAACACCCAGCAAGTCGCTATAAGGACGTGGGACTGAATCCCGACCCAAGATAATTTTTCTCATGGCTATGGACGCTGTGATTGTCTGTAGGTGGTAGACCCACGAGCATGGAGGTACTGCCCGGCATATTTAGATTCTGCAACGACCACGATGAAATCTGTGTGCGTTTCTGTGTCACTGTGAAGGCTTGGTGTGCCAAGGACTTCAAATGCTTGCGAAAAACTTTATGAGTATTACCTGTGCGTTGAAACTCTGGAGATCCATTTAAGCATGAGGACCGACAAGGCGATTGCTACGGAAAAGATTCTCTATCGCAGGAAGACCCATGGTATGTAAGGAAAACCGAAGGCCAGATTCAATTCGAGGAGATAATTCAGGAGATTCGAGATTTTATACCCCAGTGGGAGGAGATTAGTGAGAAGCCAAATAGATTTTCTATTTCACTGGGAAGGTCCAAGGTAGTCTAAGATCAGATGAGGTTACTCGCACAGATTAGAGGCAATCTTTTTGTCTGTTCATGCGGTTGCCAAATCTATTGATTTTGAGTATATACATCCATTTGTAAACTTTTCCACACATACGTTTTCGGGGTTGCCAATTCTGAATATGTTCTAGCAGGCGCTGCTACCCAGAGATTATTTCGAGGTCAAACTGAGGTTATTCCAAGCTCCACCTGTGTTCGAATCTATCTGATATGTCGGCTTCTGGATTCGAGAGGTTACTTCAAGGTCAAATTAATTCATCTTTTTCAAATTTATTGGGCAGACCCAAAAAGTCCCTAAATACATCTATGGAGTCCAGCCATGGGTTTTGATTCAAATTTTGCCCTGTGTTATTATTATTGGTTATTTACATTTAACGTCCCATGTTTCTTTTGTTTCAACAGCCTGCCTGGAGGAATGTTCTTAATACATTTCGCTGATTGTTTTATGGTGTTCAGAGATGACATTATCTGTTTATTTTTTGTCAAAAAATATATGTTTTGTGAATTTTTATTATATGTGAATATTCCACTTTTATGGCGGGTGATTACTTGTCTCATCACATTCTCGCTTGAGAAAATCGTCAGTTTTCTTGAAAACCCAATTTGCTGCAAAATGGGGTTTTTTGTTGAAGAGAAAAAGCGATAAGAATAAAAGTAATCGCCAGCTCAATTCTACTATAACAGTGGAATTTTGATATACAATATCAGATCTGTACTAATATTTGTTAACAAGTTACGATTGAAGAAAAAATGCAAAAAAAATATTTTATGACAAAAAAAAAAGATAACATGATTTTTTTAGTCACCCCTGTTCAGACCGTGAAATAATATGAAACGGATTTAGAATACTACCTCAAAAAGGCAGTGGAAAAAAGGGACATGCGACCGTGATAATCCATTCAAGGGGTGGCTTTTTTTAATCTTGCATGCCACATATTCTCTCATGCGCCAGTCGAATTGTATTTTTGTCATCGTTTGTCACTTTGTCACCGTGTAGTCACTTTAAGATTGGCATTAAAAAAAGGTGGTCAATAACGAAAAAAATAAGTAGCTTCAAGCAATTCATACTATTACTTTGTTATAAATGCCGTTTCGTCAAACGGTGAAAAAATTCTGATTGCGTCATTCATTGTTGCATGATCTTAGCTTGGTGAGATTTTGTCGAATCAAAAATGTCGATTACGAGATTCAAGAAGTCACTTTATGAGTTTCGTGTAACAATTCAGGTATCTCGCTTGAAATATTGCCCATTCGACATTCGAAAACACTCCCCTCCTTTCATTAAATGAGCTCAGCGACAAAAACTTAATCCAAGTTAGTTGCTAGATTAAAATGACTAATGAGATTTGCGGTTTTCTTAGAAGGCCTGTCAAAAATCCTTTTTAGATTCTGTTGAAAAATATTTTTCTGTTTCAGATTCAAACAACGAGCAACCCTTCGCAGATGGTCCCTCCGCCCAAGGGAGCAGCAACCTGACAGTCATAATAATCTCAGCAGCCGCTGTGACTGTGACACTGATTGTCAGCATCGTTGCTGCGGCCTCAGCGCTGGCCTGCAGGAGATCAACCGTAGCTGAGGATGCCGTTCACCGGAGAGGCAGAAGGAGCAGCAAGCCTCCGGACGACTTTGACCTGTCAGAGGATGGCTTCGGGCAAGGCTTTCACAGGCGCAGCGCTCAGTATAGGGCGAGCATGTACGGAGAGTGTGAAGATAGGATCACGAGGATGATTGAGGGTTAGTACAGCAGGATTGTTACGTACCTTGAAAAATGTCGGCTTTTTGTGACATTTCGTCGGTTTTTCGAGAAATTATGACATAATGAAATTACATATTATGAAAACGTGAAATAGTTATAGGATTTTACATTATTCTTTAATTGGCTATTTAAATTTTATAGAAATTTATGTTGTGATGTCAATAAAAAATATAATTCAGCGCAAAAATGTTTTGTGCGTGATGCATCATTAATAATTTTTGTATCACGCTCAGTTACACACAACGCGGGTGGTGATAATTCCCCGCAATGCTCCTCAATGTTTTTGATAACGCAAAAAGTGAGGGAAAAGTAATTTATAGCTTTGAACATAACTTTTTGTCAAAAAGGGTAATACATAAATAACAAGCTAATAGATGTGCTTTATGGGCAGCATATTCAGTATCAATTTTCTCACATCGCAAATAGCACTGATTTTATACACATGCAGACCAGAGACATCGTCTCAGAGATATACTCTACAGACTATATTGAGATCCTGCTAGCGAACTGAATCAGTAAGCGTAAGCATACTAACCTAGTTAGAATTAAACATGTTGACAGAAGCAGGAATTCCTGGATACCTAGAGGTTTGACAAAGTCTGCCAACAAAAAAGAGGAACTATGCAAAATGATGAAAACGTTACCAGGTACAGATACCTCCCGTGAAATATAATGAATATAAAAATATTTTTATCGATCTAGTTAGAGAAGCAAAATGCCAATTTTATCTAAAAAAATTACAAGATGCCAAATCTTATCCAAGAAAACTGTAGTCGTTGTCGGTCACTTAACTAACCAAGACGTTCAAGAGAAGCCAAATATTGATGAAATTAAGAATGGTGATGGAACAATATTAACAGATAAACAACAAAAATCCGATGCATTTATAATTTTTTTCACCAATGTTGGAGAAAATTTAGCAGCCAATATTAAAAAAATGCTATGAACGACAAATTTCCAAAAAACCAACTTCTCATGTAAATCTTTTTAAAAAGCGTTCGTCCGATTGAAGTATCAAGGCAAAGCATTTAAAAATAATAGCCTACGACTTAGCCGAACCACTTTCTTACGTCATTAATTGGTGTTTCCAATCTGGAATTTGTCCTGATGCATTTAAAGCAACAGTTATTACTCCTGTTTATAAAAGCGGTGACAGAATGGAAACTTCAAATTATTATAGACCCTTATAAGTACTAGCGAATAAAGCCAAAATTTTCTAAGAATTACTACAAAAAAGGATATTACAATTTTTGGACAAAAACAAGATTATATGTTCTGACCAATATGGATTTAGAAAAGGGAAATCTACTACAGACGAAATTTTGGATGCAATGGATGAAATTAACTCTAATCTCGACAAAAAAATAACTACTGTTGGTATCTTTGTTGACTTAAAGAATGCCTTTGATACGATAAACCATGTCGAGCTCCTGAAAGTTATGGAAAGATTGGTATTAAGGAGAACGTCCCAAATCCTTTTAAAAAATTACCTTTCAGGTCGGGCACAGACTGTTAAAATCTCTAACACTGGCAGTAAAAAAATGTACATCATGTGTGGTAAGCCTCAAGGAACAGTGCTAGGCCCACTATTATTGAACCTCTATTTAAATTAACAGTACTGGAAAGATTATCTGTTTTGCAGATGACACTCTCATATTATACAGGGTGGCGCATCGAAAACGAAACAGACGCTTTTACTGGCAGCTCAGTTTTTTTTTTTTTGGAAAAACGCTCATACCCGTCGATTTTGTTTTCGAGGGGGACACAAGTTAGTTAAAAAATCACGTTGGCACGTGCAGCCCCCCAAGCGGAGGTGACACCAAGCCCAAAATCTTAAATGGAAAGGGGGGTCGAGTGATACCTTATTTTAAAGGTTTTTCAATTCCCTTTATAATGATATAAAATTAATGTACTTCAGTTCAGTAGTTTTGAAGATTTATGGATTTAAAGCTTAAATAAAACTAATACATCATCATTAATGGAGATCAATACATTTGGCAGCAAACTAATTTAAAAATGAAGAATGAACTGACCCGTTAGGCAAGTAAATATTGAAAATGGCCACCATGACTCTCCATGCAATAATAAGGATTTTGCTCAAAACGTTTCCGCACATTTTGCAATATTTCAGGAGTAATTTGAAGACACTCATTCACAATTCTTTGTCGCAGGTCTTCTAATGATGTTGGCTGATTAGCATAGATTTTGCTTTTTAAATGACCCCACATAAAGAAATCCTAAGGTGATAAATCTGGCGATCGTGGGGGCCATTCAATGGCACCTCTTCTACCAATCCATCGATGTGGAAATGACTGATCTGAATATTGTCGAACACGTAATGCGTAATGTGGTGGGGCACCATCCTGTTGGAACATCAACCTATTCGCAATGTACCGCCGATCTTCAATTATGGCTGTTAATGCAGGATCTATGGTATCTTCCAGTAATTCCAAATACATTTCACCGGTCAAATTTCCAGGAAAAAAGGACCAACTAAATAATCGCCAAAAATACTAGCCTAAACGTTTAATTTTTGTGGCTGCTGCGTATGAACCTCATGATAAATTCTGGGATTAGAATCGGACCAATATCTGCAGTTATGACGATTTACTACGCCATTTAAGAAAAAGGAACATTCGTCGGAAAAGCAAGTGTTGAATAGAAAATGTTTATCGTTTATAATTCGTTCACTCATATCTTCACAAAATTGTAATCGCCGATCAAAATCGTCTTCATTAAGTTTTTGTAACAGGTGAATTTTATACGGATGAAAACTATGGGCCTTTAGAATCCGTTGGACAGTACGTCGACCAACACCACACACAGTCTCCAATTTGCGGGTACTTAACGTAGGATTTACATAAACTTGCCCTAAAACCCCCACTTATGTTGCGTCGTTCCTTATGGGATTTTCAATGTTGCGTTTTTTATTGGCGACTGACCCAGTTTCCCGAAATTTAGCTACAAGTTCTAGAACATATTTTCGATGCACGTTACTGTTCTCATGTCGCTCATTAAATATTTCTGCTGTTCTATTAACGGACTGATTATTTCCGAAAAATATTTCGATAATTTCAACCTGTGGAATATACCATGGTTAATTTATGTAATAAAGCCTTAAAAGTTATTTTAGCAACAAAGTTTGGTCAAATCAATCGCAAACTATGTACTAAATTCCTACTTAAAATAAGTACGAGATATTTCCTTATCTTTCTTCAAGAAATAACTTTTTTGCCACAAAAAAACGGTCCAATAGCTATTTTCAACAACAAAATGATAAACAAACCATGGGCGTAGTGAAGAAAAGCATTTACTTATTAAGTAAATTCTTGTAGTCAAATTTCTTCTGAAAGTAATACACACTAATGTGATGTACCTATTAAAGTCTACTTTAAGCTTTAAATCGATAAATTTTCAAAACTCCTGAACTGAAGCTCATGTATTTTACATCATTATAAAGGGAATTGAAAGACCTTTAAAATAAGGTATCACTCGACCCCCCTTTCCATTTAAGATTTTAGGCTTGGTGTCACTCCCGCCCAGGGGGCTGCACGTGTTAAAGTGATTTTTTGCCAAACTTGTGTCCCCCTCGAAAACAAAATCGAAAGGTCTGAGCGTTTTTCCAAAAAAAAAACTGAGCTGCCAGTAAATGCGTCTGTTTCGTTTTCGATGCGCCACCCTGTATAAAGCTGATGACTGGAGCACACTGAAGCAAATCGTTGACTGGTTTGATAGTAAACAGTTAAATTCACAAAAAACTAAATTTATTGCATTGACACCCTATTCAAAATTTTTACCTACCTTCGAACAAATTATCATGGCCAAAAAACAAAAATCGATAGGGTTAACACTTTAAAATATTTTGGAATACTAATTTATAGACTCACATCCTATAAACTCAAAATGCTTGCTAGCATTCTTACAGAAAATTATCTGCGAATCCTGTATCATGCTTTACTTGAACCCCATATAATATACGGCATCACAGCCTGGGGTACCGCCTACAAGACATGTATTTCTGAACTAAATATGGCTGAAAAAAGCCATTTTCCATAAGCTAAGATTATATCGGACGAACAACTTATATCAGGAAACAGGGATACTTGATACTAGACAACTTCATTTCTTACATGTTACCACCTTAAACCATAAGCATTATAATGAAAAAAATTCCCATACAGGGTTAACCTAACATCCAAATACCACACAAAGCATTATTCAAAAAATCAATTTAGCTACATTATATAATATTCCAAACGAAATAAAAACACTTAGTTTTGAAAAAAAGATTAGACGAAAATCAAAAAACTGGATTTGTACTGTGCAGCGAATGACTATACATAGTTATGTAGAAAACTAATACTAAAAAATTCCAATTACCAGTATATTAATACTTTTTATAATTAACAGCAATTGTTAAACACATAATGATTGATTGTTATTTATTAAGATATAACACACACAGGGCGTTGCCTTCTGTAGTTTTTTATATTCATTAGCCCATTTTTTGTATTTTGCCGAATAAATATTATTATTATTATTGCTGGCACTCATAGCGCTCATAGCAAGCAAACGCGGAATGAACTATTTGCACATTAGGAATCCTAGGAACTATCTAGTCAGCAAGTTGACATTTTGTCGGCTATTTTTGACACTTCGTTGCGTAAAAACCCTGCCGATGATTTAGTTGCATAACCATATTCTTGGTGAATGAGGTCGTAGTTCGGGATCCCATGTACAGGGTCAGTTTAAAGTTTGTAATCGGTCATATCGCCGTTATTATGAAAAACGGAAAAGTAATTTCCGGTAGGAGTTCCGTAAGGTAAGTACTGTCTTTCACCAGCAATAGAAAATTGCTTGTGATTAAGCCTCAAATAATCCCAGGGAAGACATGTCGTTCGCGGTGAAATATCTTGGACAAAACGCTAAATTGGAATTCGCAAGCAGTCCTTAAGGGGCAAGAATCTTGCGATAGACATGGCG